TTCAGCACCCTCAGGGGATGAATCATACCAAAAACTAGCAGTGACATTAAACTTTAAAAACAGGAGGTTGTTTTTTTTTTTTAAATGAAGACTTGTCAAAATGGTCTAAAGTGAGGAAAATAAAATCCTTAGAGACAGCGTGAAAGCTACTTAAGTGTACTATAACTGAGTCCCAGAAGCAATAGATACCTCTAAACAGAAAAGGAAGCAGGAAGGCAATGAGAAACTGGCATGGTTAAATGGCAAGTTAGGTTTGTGCAAACATATACACATAATTCTACATATTGACATCTGAAAATATGCCTCTTCCAATGTTTTATTAAAAATAGAGAGAACTTTAGTAAGATGGATGTCATACAGGGTGACCAGATAGCAAGTTTGAAAAATCTGGACAATTTTTTCCCCAGGGAGGATGTGGGGGGGAGGTGACGGGGGGATATAGTTGGCAATATAAGATAAAGGGGGAAGAGGCGACAGGGGGATAGAGTTGGCAATATAAGATAAAGCCCCTAATATCAAGACGTCTGGTCTCCCTAAAGTCATGGGGCAACAGGTTCCACAACTCAGGGCCCACCACAGCAAAGTACAATCATCAGCCAACCTGAGACACTATCATTTACAATTCAGTAATGTCCGAGTATAGATTTGTCAGGACAGGAGGACTCGAGAAGGAGGTCTTTCATATAGCCTGGCCCTGCTCTCTTCAAAGTTTTAAAAAGCTCTGATTCTTGTTGATACTGTCTCTATTTCTGAAGGTCTCCTATATAGTGATGCACTACTAGGAAGAGACATAGACATGGGAGGCTTTGGTACCAAAATTAGGGTTGCCTCTGAAATGCTAGGAATTTGAGATTGATGAGTGGAAAATATGTCACTCTAAATATCCAGTTGGAAAAGTGGAAATCTAAAATTCCATGGCCCTTCTGAACACTTGCCTATAAAAGGCCGCTGGAAAATATCCCAGATAGTTGTCTCTTTACTGAGAGGTATCAGTGTGAGTTGGAGAGGAAAAAGATGATTTAGTGCTTTGGAGAGGGGGGAGAAGAAAGAAGCACATCACAAAAGCTGGTGTCAAGCTAGGATCAGTACGCTCCTTAAGGCAAGCTGCATGAAGAATGAATTACGAATTGGGGAACATCCAAACACACCTTCCTCTCATGAAAGCTGATCTCAGCCCCAAGGGATACAGAAGGCATTTACAGTAGCACCCAGCATTCAGCACATCTCTGAGTGCTCAGACGGCCCGGTGCCGAGCTCTGGTGAAGTGTGTCGCCGGCAGAGTGTCCTCCAATATCCAGGAAAGACACAAAAACAAGGATTGTTTCAACTATGGCCTGGTGCCAGTGGCTTCAGTCATGCAGAGCTAATAGATCAGCTGCTGCTGCCCAGCTTACCCAAACACTCAGCTGAGGTTACCGTTTCTCGCTTTATTTTATTTATATTTTTAAAGATAATTATCTTATCATGGGAGCCTGGGACTGTCATGCAACATTTACAAAAGCAGAAATAACATGGGATTTGGAGAAATGATTTTAGCTACTCCTAAGGGAATAAGATACGTTTTTTAAAATCAAAGGGTCATTGTTTTCCGTGACAAGTTAGCTCTACCTCTAGGGAGTTCATATCCTTCTGAGTCCCCTCCCTTCCAAGAGCAGCTGGGTCATGTTTATTATACTATACAGTCAAGCCTGCTTATTGTCAGCTTGCACTGAATACAATTTTTTCTCTCTTAAATGGGATTTTCCAATAAATGGAAAGCCAAACCAACTAGGTAGAAGATTTTTTTCCTCAATCCTTTATGGATAAGGAATAATGTCTGTCCCCTCATTACCCATTTTCAAAAATCATAGAAATAACCTTAGAACAAAGAAAAACTACATCAAAGGCATTAATGGTGCACTGATTTTATAGTTTGCATTTAGTGTACCCTCGAATCTGTTCATACGTAGAACCAGTAGTTAATGAAAAACTCGTTTGTTCTGAGTGCTTCAGCCAACATATAGGATTGTTTGAGACAGGAGCAGTGTTTTACAATTGACAATATATAGAAAAATGTTTGACAGTTGTTATTTAACCGGCATATAAGTATGATGTTCATACAAAATAGTTTAATTTAGTGCTGAGAATATACTTTCAAATTAATAGGATATTCCATTAACTACATTTTCTTAAGTGGGCTTGATCATGTTCTGAAAATCTGATTTTAATACAAGTCCTTAAAGGCAATTAACCTGACTAATCTCTAGCACACAAAAACAAGTGAGGGAATGGGGAAAGCACGTGATCTGCACACACACATATTTTCTTGACATGCAGCAGGGAGGGAAGATGCTTTGTGTATATTTTTGGTGGGCGTTCCAAATGCAAAGGCAGATAAGGAGACAAAGGCTATGTGCTAGGGGTGTGATTCCCAGCTCGCGTAGACTTACTCATGCAAGCTCTCATTGAGCGCTAAAAGTATTAGTATACTCAGGGTAGCATGGGCAGTGGCAAGAGGCAGCACAGACTAGCTATGCCAAGTACGTGCCCGTAGAATTCGGGCAGGTTTGTACTTGGCACAGCTAGCCTGCACTGCCACCCTCCACTGCCTGTGCTACCCTGGCTACACTATCCTAGTGGGCTAACTGGGGGGAGGGATAGCTCAGTGGTTTGAGCATTGGCCTGCTAAACCCAGGGTTGTGAGTTCAATCCTTGAGGGGGCCACGTAGGGATCTGGGGCAAAATCAGTACAGGTCCTGCTAGTGAAGGCAGGGGGCTGGACTCGATGACCTTTCAGGGTCCCTTCCAGTTCTATGAGATAGATATATCTCCATATATGAACTCAGTGACAGCTAGCACGAATATGTCTTTGTGAGCTGGGAATCACACCCCTAGCGCAACTGGTTTGACAGTGTATTGTTACTAGGGTTGCTTCTAGTTCAATACTCAATAAGACACTTCCCTGCTCAGGGGAGACTGATTCTAGTTTTAAGATGACAGGCAGGCTGTTCCTTTCATGCCAATCTCCAGGAGATAGCAAAACAAAATCCACAGGCTAAGGCTGGTAAAATTTGGCTGCAGTTAAGGACATTATATTGGAAAGATCAAACAGTTCGTTTTCCTTATTCACAGTGTACTAACTCCCCATATAATCCAAATGTATTCATTACCATTTTCAGAATGGCAACCCAATGGCTTTCAAATAACTAGACCCTGAATGTCCTGGTTCAGGCAGGACCTTTCCTGACCCATGGCAGGAACTCGATTGTAACGCCTCTGAACACAGGACCTATGGCAGACAGAAAAAGAAGCTGAGGTTTGGATGTTATTTACTAGTGACCCTCAGACAAAGTTCTTCTCTGACTTGCTCACTTCAGTTACATCTCATCAAATTGACTTCTTAGAATCAAGTTACTTCTCATCCTGTATCAGTCTTACTGAGAGAGTCTGTCAAATGCTTCTTAAACACAGTATCACCAGGCCTTTAGTGTAGCTGGACCAATGCTTCTAATCAGATTCAGAATTTTTGGTCCACAAAATGAGGTAATTGGTCAAAATTCAAGTTTACAGCCCGGGTCAGCCACCAAGTGAGAAATGAATATTGAGAACAGGGCTACCAGTGCTGAACATCTACAAATATATCTGATATGTCCAAGTTGTCAGCATTTCCCACCTGCTCCTTTCATCACAGATGTCAATAATTAGAAGCTCCCTCCCTGTCAACCTCCCGATAAGTTGCTCAGAGAGGATCCTGGGCCCAAGACATTTCTGAACTTTAGCTAACATCACTTGTTCCTGATCTAGTAGAGATCTCACACCAGATTTCCATTCCCCAGGGTGTTTTATTCCCTTGGTCAGTGCACATTGCAGCCGACCTACTCATCATGACATAGATTTTGTTCTTTGAACTATAAAGGCAAAAGAAAAGGTTCACATATTAAAATTATATATTGTTTTTAACCAAACCTAATAAACCCTGCAGTTATTTACCTAACGGCCATTTAAACATGTAGCAAAACTCCACTGATTAACTCTTTATGTAAAGACAGGATTTTAAATTTGTACATCTGGAATCCAACTTCCGTAGTTCCAACACAGCTCAGACATGACAGGCTCTCTCTGTAGGACAGCTCGTTCAGCACAAGGTCATCTGTGATATATAGGCTAAGCCATCACTATTACTGCCTAAGAGACTCTTAGGGAGGTCACAAAGAGCAAGACCCAGGAGAGCCCATAGCACATAACAAGACATTAGAAGATGAAACTTGCTTCTCTTCACACAAAGCAATAGTATCAGAAATGTCCCAGTTCAAAGGTTAGGGGCAGAGAGGAAGATGTGAGTGATGACACTACATAGCATTAAGTGATGCTGGATCCTTACACATCTCAGCTACATGTAATGATGTAAGGCAGAAGTCAAAAGGTCATGTGCCTTTAACCAACGAAAAAGTGGAAGTGGAAGTATATGACCCCTCCCAATCTAAGCAGTGAAGAGATAAACCTTCCCTTTAAATTGCCCTGCCCAGAATAGTATGGGTTCATCTGCATAAGAGCCTCTCAACAAAGCAGTGTTATTATCCTCAGATAACACCCCCCAAGCAGTGTAGTTTCATCAGTACAAGCATAATCCTCCATGGAAGAGCAGTGCACTCCACAGTAAGCCAGCGTGGCTATCACACCTCTCATCAGAGCACTGTAGATACACCTGTATAACACTTCTCCCTATGCAGAAAGTAATGGGAAAATGCCTGTGTGCTGGTAATTCTGTAGAGTTTTGAGTGGACAGGGTGACTAGACTGGATATCTGCAGTCGGAATCTTCCCCAGAGAATCAGATGATTTATTTCACAATTCCAATTTTAGAAATAGTCACAATCTGAGGGAGAGGAACATTGGTCAGGCAGGTATGCAAATGGTGAAGCCCAAGAGCTTTGTTTGTGACAAGAAAGGCTGTCTGTTTACAGTGGACAGCTTTTTAAAAGCAGATATACACTGATATTCATTGCGGTTTGGTTCCATTACAACAGGATTTCTACCTGGCTGGGACTTGGTAATGGTTTCATTGCTTGAAGATCAACCTAATATTAAGTTCTCTTCTTCTGACACTCTGGAGAGTGACCAACAAGACAACCTCATGCAGACACAAGGGGACCCAAGCTCCCCAGCTCAGCAAACTGTGAGTAAGACATGCAATCTTTTTTCTCCTTTCCAACAAGGACAAGCCCAGCTACAGTGCTTAGCAGTTGGTATACTGGGATTCAGATTTGTCCATCGAAAGAAATAACACAAGAATAAATTCAGAAATCTTTATGGTAACAGAAGGTACCAAGAATGCTGGATTGGTGTACAAGAGCCAACATTTACATTGTATTTCTGAAGTGTCAAAAGCTTACCCATGGTGCTGAATTGTGAGCCCTCTGGTAACTCTTCTACTGGATTCTCAGTACTCAGGTACAAAAACAGGCAACTTACCTCTCATAGGAATCATAGTTCTTTTACAACTAGGGGTGGTTTTGAAATTATTTTTATACTGTTTCTTTACTGAACCATAGAAATTGGAGAGTCAAAGGATAAACCCATCTTGTCCATCCCCTGCCAATGGAGGATATCACCAAGTGCTTGCTTCAGACTTGGTTGTGACTTTAAGTCATGAAATGAAAGAAATTCTCTGTTACTGCTCACATATTCAACCTGTCAGCTTGCTAAAAAAAGAATGCTGTAATGTTATAGCTCATGATTTTGGCATGTCTATGTCCACCACCTGGTTTGGTACGTTGCATTCAACTACAGTGAAAGCAAATATAATGATTCCAGCATGAAAATTCCAGGTGGTGGATTAACAGTATAGTTGTCCAAACAGCTTGGCACCTCTATGATTTTATAATACTTCTTGGTGAAACAAAAATGGCCTACCTGCAGACATGTTTCGCTTGATTGAAGAATGAAAAGGGAAGGACAGTTATAAAAGAATATTACAATTGGTTTTCATTCATACATCAAGCCAAAAATGGCCCGGAGTTGGATTTGCTTTTTGGATGAGTCCCTGAATGAACAGAATTTCTCTGTGAAAACCAGATTAGGACTGACTGCTGATGTTTAGTTGCAAGAAATGCTCAAATTGGCATCACACATCACGATACATCAGCTTCCCCTTAACATCTCACTACAGTAGCTTACTGAACTAAATGAATACCTTTGATTGTCACAGCAGCAATGGGTGTAGTGCGCCTAATCCATTCAAATTGGACGTGTATTTAGAAAAATTAAAAACTAGGACTCTTGACAAACAAGTTCTTATGTAGATTAGTGATCACTGAAACATTACCATTTTTTTATGACATGCTGCAAGTTCTTCAAGGTCCCTCTCTCTGCAGGGAACACTGTATTTTCATGCAGATTTCCCTGAAGGATCTTTCTGAATCTTCAAGTCCTTCCCTGAATATGCTTCTGTAGCCCAGTGTTCACTGTATATTGAAAGTATCAGCTCTTGGAGTTCAATAGTCTTTAAATGTATGTAAATTTTGCCTTGCAGGATAATCCCAGTTTCAGTTGCCAGTCATATGATCCAGACAGCAGGACAGAAAGAAAGAGTTCAGAATCTTCTCACAGCCCAAGCCCCTCTTCTCCAACCCAGGATCAAATCCATGGGAGATTTCCTGCCAACCAAGGAATTCACTCTGGCAAGTGCAAATTTAAAGTCTCTCCCAATGCTGAGAAATTCAGAAGGTATAGCTATGAGGAAAGCACTGCAGGAAACTATGGCAGGTTCCTCAAGAGCAACAGGAACCCCTTCCATCCTTATAAGAGGGAGTTCAGTGAAGATGTCTTCCAAGAAACTCATCCAGCCCTCACATTGGATAATAATTCCTTCAAAAATGCAAGAAGCATTGAGGGTTTTGAAGATCTACCAGGATCTACTGGCACTGGCGAGTCAGAGTCCTTTCCCACACATATTCAGAACATTTCCACAGAACCAACATGGTGCAACAATCTCCAATACAACCTCACAGGCCAAGATCAGAGTTCCCAAGTCATGGTGAGTTACCATACTACAGAGGGCTATCATCAGGGTCCTCAACTACTTTTGGAAATAATTCCTGTTATCCATGGCATAATGGTACCAAGAATTAGTCTTTCAAGGTTGCTGGCGAGAGTTCATAACTCTCATAACTGTTATGAACTCTCGCCAGAGTTCATATCTACTACTTTTGTTGCAGTTCCCCATGCAACTCCCTTTCCTCAATTAAAGTTAATTCTCAGAAGTCCATAGAAATAATTTCCCTATAAACCCAATATGTGGACCTGAAATATTCAACTTTCCTGACAACTAAGATTCAGGTAGACCTAACTGAGTGGTGGCTCCCATTTAGTTGGCATGCTAACATGGCAAATTGTACTGCTATATGGCATTCAGAAGGCATGTTCACAAATCGTAATGTTTCATTCCAATACTATAGGCAGCAATAAACGAGCTTCAGGACAATCTAAGATCATATTACTATAAGGAGGTTTGGGCTCTTTATATTTCATGCATGTTTTACCTGCTTTGAGATTGATAAAAGAGTAAATATAAGGAAAGGTATAAAGTCTGTAAACTCCTTTAAATTGCAACTCTTTGAAATCCATTATTTCAATTAAGAGCAGGTTTCCTATCTACATTTCTTCCATTGTTCATCAGAAAAAGAAAGTTTTAAGGCAGAACCCTAGTGACAATGAAAAGACGGTTACCTACCTTTTGTAACTGTTCTTCGCGATGTGTTGCTTATGTCCATTCCAATACGTGTGTGCGCGCCACATGCATGATCGTCGGAAGGTTTTACCCATCTGGTGGGCTGTGGAGCTCTCTGGAGTGGTGCCTTTGTGACAGTGTATATAGGTCCCTGCCCACCCGCTGCCTGCTCAGTTCCTTCTTACTGCCACTGACAGTCATTGGAGCAACTGGTCTCTTGCTTTGCCAGTGTTTCTTAGCGTTTTTCCGTGTATATAGTTATTATTTTTCACTAGATCGTTAGTCAGTTTTATTAGTTAGTACGTTTAAGTTGGGGGGGTTCCCCCCGATATTTTCCCCATCACCAGGGCATGCCGTGGCCCCAAGGGTTCAAGCTCTGCGATAGGTGCAGTAAGCCTGTGCCCAGAGGGGATCCGCACGCTGCTTGTCTAAAGTGCCTGGGAAAGGGTCCTTTGCAAGACAAGTGCACCATCTGCAGAGGCTTCAAGCCCAGAACTAAGAGGGAGAGAGACTATCGAGCTCCTCTTGATGGAGTCTGCTCTCCTGCCTCAACCAGTTTAAGAGCTGGCCTCGGTGCACAGCGCCCTTGCCTCGGTGCGGGACATCTCAGCACCGAGGAAGGACTTGCATAAGGAGCATCGGCACCACTCCCCTACATGGAAGGCCGACTCATCAATGCGGCACCGTTCACAATCCCCGGCCAGGGTCAAATCTCCTCCAAGCAGCCCCCCAGCTTGAAGCCGAACTTTTGATGATGCACCCGGGGACAGAGCACCAACCCAAATCCTGGATCCTTGCCCTCCCTTTGTGAATCATCTGTCCCACTTCTACTGTGCCTGGGCCCAGATTACTTCAGATCGCTGGGTCCTGAGCATGGTAGGGGGTGGGATATTCTATCCAATTTTGTGCCCGCCCACCTTCTCCGTCCCGCTGTAGGGACCTCTCTCACGAGCAACTCCTGCTACAGGAGGTGCAATCGCTCCTCGCGCTGGGGGCAATAGAAGAGGTTCCTCAGGAGTTCAGGGGCAGGGGGTTTTGCTCCCAATATTTTCTCATCCCCAAGGCCAAGGGTGGGCTCAGATTCATATTGTTTCTGACTTACCTGAATATGCTGGTGAAAATAAGATGTGCATGTGACCTTTTAATAATGAATTTTGATTGTTTGTAATTTGCAGTTCTCTCTTGTAAACTTGAAAATTACATTTCCATACTTGTTCTCAGTCTGGCTATTCCTCTTATGCTGCTGAAGCAAAAATGTAGCTTCCTTTTATCACTTATACACTACAGTAGAACATCAGAGTTACGAACAACAGAGTTACAAACTAACTGGTCCACCACATACCTCATTTGGAACTGGAAGTATACAATCAGGCGGCAGCAGAGACCAAAAAAAAAGAGTAAATACAATACAGTACTGTTAAACATAAACTACTAAAAATAAATGGAAAGTTTAAAAAAATTGACAAGTTATGGAAACTGTTTCTGTGCTTGTTTCATTTAAATTAAGATGGTTAAAAGCAGCATTTCTCTTCTGCATAGTAAAGTTTCAAAGCTGTATTAAGTCAATGTTCAGTTGTAAACTTTTGAAAGAACCACCATAACATTTAGTTCAGAGTTACAAACAACCTCCATTCCCAAGGTGCTCGTAACTCTGAAGTTCTACTGTATATGCATTCCTTTGAATAGTCCTAAGTGGTTAAAAGACACTGCAAAGGCAGTAGGAGAACACACACTTTTTTTATATATAACACAAAAATATCAGTGATTATTTTTAAAGGGATGTAGCAGATTTAAAAGAAGATATTTAGAACACTGAGGTTGCCCTGCCAGTTTGCATCGGTTGGTAAGGAGCTCAAATCTTAATCAAGTTGCCAGGATCATTTGAAGAATGCCAGCTCTGTGGTTATTAGAAATTATCCCACTTACTCACATATTATGTGTTTAAGCTATTGATCAAATCTGTCCATCAGTCTTTATAACGTAGCAGTATAATTGAAAGGAAAATTGAGGTTGAGCTTCTCTCTTTTTCTGAGGTAATCTCCCTAAATGTATTGCTGCTCTCTGTTCAGTCTTCACTAGTACTGGATTTTGCTTGTTATCTGTTGTTACTCCTGGAAGGATAGCCAAGGATTTTGAATATTCTAACCACGTCAGCATCCCTGAGGCAAGTCTGTAGGACTCTGGCAGCACACTAAGTGAGTGGAACCCTAGACCGAGAGGTGGGCACCAGGGGAGAGGCCTATGCTGCTAAAGCCTGACCAGCCTATCTGCTTTTCTTGGCAGTTTTAGATATGGCTCCTATTCTACAACTGGATTTTCTATAGCAATCAAGCCAGCTGATGCAGTCACTCTAGTTTGACTTTCCTCTGCAACCTGTTTCTCCATATATTTTGATTCCCAACTCTCCCTCCAGCTTTGTGCATTCCTTCTATTGACAGCCTAAAGGAGTGAGAGAAAGGCAGAAAGAGCTAAGGAGTGCAGGTTATTCTGGTCGGTGAAGAAAAAAGGACAAACAGAAATGATCATTTTCTGGATTTTTCATATTTGTGTTAGAGGATTTTAACAACAGCCCCTTTCTTTCTAAATAGCAACTGTACAAAAATCAATAAGAGAATGTGCCTTCTAACAGCTCCAGCAGATGAAATACATTCCTGTTAATACTTCTCATTTGAGGAGAAATAAGTCCAAGAAGGGCAGAGAAAACATCCAAAGGCAAACTGGAGACAGTAACTGAAAGGCTCGATGTATTTACACGTCTGTCATTTTCTGTAATAACTCCTTATCTGAATATATTTCAGCGGGATTCAGAGGTCAAGCTTAAGACGCCTCCACTGGAAGGGCAGCCCAGTCTGTACTGTTACCAGCCTCCAGTGCAGCAAATGTACTGTCCCTCACACCCATTTCACCAGGTACGTGCAATGTGTGGACAACTGAATTAATTGCATGTCCTACAATATACTGGTCTGGTGACTCTGACTATAAAACACAAGAACTGGGTGAACAGTATCAACTAATTCTGCACTTGCTGGGAAGTTCCTACATGAACAGTCTCATGTTGCTTATGAAAAAACTGTCAAGGAGAAATAGAGATAAATTAATTTTAAACATTTAAAACACAGAAAAAAATAACCTATAAAAATGTTTTGGTATTGCTTATTTATTCTCTTATAATGACTCCTAGAGAAAACTGGTTCTGTTAACAAGTTAAAAGATTTTACATTTGTAACTACCAGGTCCATCTAAACCCTGGAAACCCACTGTACTCTGACAGTTGCAACAAAAATAAAATATATTTAATGTACCCTCAAACAAAAATACACATAGAAAAATATTTTTAAAATCTGGGTAGTCCACACAGCTTTAAACAGCCAAGTGCTGCTATAGCTACAAATCACCTTATCTGTACTTGATTGCCATAAACCATTTATTTTGCAGCTTTCTCACTATGATAGTGTACACCTCCTAAGATCTGCAGAAGGGGAGCCTACCTCCTGCAGATTTTAGGAGGTGCATAGATGTAGGACACCCCTTGAGTAAGTGCACAAACTCCTGGAAAACCTTAGATGATTCCTTGGGGGTCTTCTGAACTTCTAGCCACTGAGAGACTTTGCGCTCTGAACACCCACAGCAGGTCTCGGGAGGCTCATGGCCCCCTGACATAGGCATTAGGAAGCTCATGGTCCACTGACCCCTATAAGCCCTGCCTTAGCATGTTCTTGGGGAGCGTCCCACACCCCCATAAAACATAAGAGGGGCTATGGGCGTCCCAACCCCAGCTACATCCTCACAAGCCTTGGGAAGTTCATCAGTGCATCAACACTCCTTGGCAGGCTCCGTGGGAAGGAACAAACCTATTAAGGTGTGTAGGAGGTGGGTCAGGGATGGCGCTGTGAGATTCCTAAGGCTCAGGTGGGGAGAGGGTTTAGTGAGCCTCCTGAGGTACACAGGCGTGCAGATAGCAAATCTATGAAACCATGTGTTCCTATTACTATTACCCTTGTCTTCCCTCTGCCTCCACTCCCTCCATTATGTTCTGTACCTACCTATTACCCTTTGTAGTTAATTAGATTATAAGCTCTTCAGGACAGAGACTGTCATTTACTACGTGTTTGTACAACACCCTGCACAATGGGGCCCTAGTTCTGGCTGGGGTCTCTGGGCACTACTGAAATTCTATTAACAAACAATGTAGAGGCTTGTCCTCTCCTACAGACCTCTGGGGGTCCACAGGACTGGGGCAATGCCCACCATATCTTTTCCCCACCCCTCCCCAAAATTCCTGTTCTCTGCAGCCCCCAACTCCCACACCATGCAGACATCCTACAGTGTGCAGGAGCTGAATACCCTTCCGACAGACCTTAGGAAGTGTGCAGGAGCTAAATATATCCAGGGTGGATTTGGAAGAACAGAAGCCTTGGGGCAGATGTCAGAGAGAATAGGTTTTCCTTCTACCCTGGCTATGTATAAGAAACCTGGCTAGGGCACAATGTCACTCCCTGGCATGCTGCTGTGTCTCATTGGAGCCACCAACTAGCCAAAATTAGCTTCTTAGTTCCCAACAAGCTAGGTTGATATTACAATTTTAAATCTTAATAACTTTTAAAATAATTTTCTCTTTGGTTCTCAGAACTCGTTTCAACCTGAAGAGTTCAGCGAATCATAATTTCTCTATGTGACTTCTTTTTTTAAGCTATAAAGTGGCAAAAAAGCATTAAATTATTTAATTCTCATGAACAGCTCTTTTTTGGGTTCATAATTCATGAGACCTTTGCCAGATTAACCTCAAATTTAGTAGAAAAATTGCACCATCCAGTGATAGTCCGAATCTACCAGTGTTGAAGTGAACATTCCTTTTTTGTGGAACTGAGAGGAGTGAGTCCAAAACCAGACTAACAATGAAAGCAACTATGAAGCAGCTATACAGACAGTAAAATCAGATTTCAGCCTGCTGTAATGGCACCATTCTGCCTCCACATCGTATAAATATACAGCCATACACTGCATGTAACTTTAGCAGAAATACCGTTTTGGCTGCTAATTAATCTGCACATTCTTTTCATGTTCTTTATTCCCTATGAAGGCAGATGTGTGACTTGATGCCAATATTGTTACTACATGTTGGCATTAACTAGATTAAAAAAAACCTACAGTGTAACCTCTGAAACACCGAAGGGAGTAGGTGAGCAAGACAAGAAGGGAGTAGCTGGGCAAGACCCAACAAGCACTACATGAAAGGAAGTCTCCATCCACCTGTAGGCTGGCACGGTGACAAACCTCTCACATGTAGCTAGTTGCTATTATAATTTTCAGCATTTGCTCTTTTTATATTAATATGATAAAGGTAATGGCAATATATGCTAGCGCCCAAAGATGAAAATGACAGGCATGAGCAGCTGAGGCTGCAAGAGGTAGAATTACTGTCCAGCACCAGACACCAAGGTGTAAGTGCTGCATATGATACAAAGTTTGGGAGAAATAGTATTGTAATGGAATGCTGTCAGTCTTCAGCAGAGCAGAACCACCACCAAAGCTTTGCCCTGCAAACCTCAACTGGAGCAGAGCAATTTGGCTTAATAAAAATGAAACACAAGCAAATGGGGCTTTTAGCCAGACAGAAGGCTGTCCAAGTCCTGCCTCACATCTCAATATAGAGGTGAGAGGTCAGCACCCTCATTAATTCTGCCAATAATTTAAAATGGTCTCCCCTTCCCCTTTAATGGGCACAAGATAGAAAATGAGTCATAAGGAAACACCTTCTTATGGACCTGAAAGTAATAGCAGACATGCAGCACTTACTGACGTCACCCACCCACCATAAAACATGGACACCTTTCATGCCAGTTATGCCATGTCATAAGCAGTACAAGCCCATCATACCAGACCCTTCCCCAGCCTCCAGTCCCTCAAGAAGGAGCAATGAAACCAATAAAACAGAAATAATCTTTAAAACACCCAGTTCTTGCCTCTGGTAATGACATCTCAGTCATTTCCATCTCCGTCTCCTTTCCTTCCAAAGAGCCACTGAAACCAATAAAATCAAAATGACTGTATAAATGCCCAGTTCTCTACCCTGGTCACAACTTTGAACCCAGGAGGACAAGTCAGACAGCCTTTGGAGATGTAACTTACGGTAGTTCCGAGGGCTGCATCTTTGCCCAGTATGTATGTTACTGGAGCAGGATATAGAAAAGTGGAGAAGTTCTCCATGTCCTGTTTCTTTCACTTTTGTTTGTCACGGTTGCAAACAAGTTAATATTTTCAGTAGGTTTCTCTATATGGTTCTGGTGTGATTGCACCTGGAATACTGCATTCAGTTCTGAGCAGCTCAGAACGAAAAAGATACTGGCAAACAGGAGGAAATTCAGAGAAAAGCAACTAAAGTTACTAGGAAACTGGAGGAATTGAACCATTAAAAGTATAGCTTGAGGGGACATGATACCTATTGGCAAATATTTGAAGTGTGTAAACAAGGAGCAAGAGAAATTATTGGTCCAACGAGATATTAATTAGTAATGATAGGGTAAAATTAAGAAAAGAGAAATATAAGCTACATATTAAGAAAAATTTCCTCACAGTGAAAGCTGTCAAAACTATAGAATAATCTACCAAGGGAAGCAGTTAAAACCTCATGGCATGGGACTTTTGAAAGGAGGCGGGATAAAGCATTAAAAGGTGTGCAATTGAGAATACTCCTGCATTTACTGCACAGTTTGTTTTCTCCATCTCCAATTTGCGTAATTTTGTTACAGCAAAAGATATAATCAAAATGGGACGGCCATTGATTCAATTATTTACAATGCTTGGATTGGCACAGAGTTCAAATCTCAAAAATAAGCTGTTTCTTGTTCTTAGGCTGTTAGAGACTTGATAGAATGAATTGCCTCATTTTTTTCTCAGGCCAGTGGAAGAAGATGCTTTGCTTATTTTAGGATTTATTTGTTTTCATGTGTACTCTGACACCACTCATCCTTTAGAAGTTGCATCATCATGTCTAAATTTAGTCAGCAAGCAAGGAAGGCTTTGTTGTGCTTACTCTGATGGCGCAGAATGAATTTGCCCCATTGGGCTTCTGTCTTAGTTTATCTCATCTCCACTTTTAAAAAACATTCCTTCTTGTCCCCAGAGTTTTTTTTAGTAGCTTTAATCTTTTGTCTTGTTTTAGAGTTTTAGTCTTTCATGGTGTATTTTATTGTTTGAAGTATTTCATGCTGTTTTGTTTCTTTTTAATCTAGTAATTAATGTAATATTTTATTTCTCTGTGTAGTGCCATATTGGGTTGGTGGAAGGTATCCTGAGAAATATGTTTATTGCTACTATTAATAAAGACAGTTTCTGGGAGTTTCTTGCTTCTTTTGCTTTTAAATCAATTAACTTGTCTTTTATCATGTTGTCAGTATTCGTCAGGAGGCAGTTATCCTGTAACCTATATTACCTCATCACACTATCCTTACCAGAGAATCGCTCCTCAAGGGAGTCAAGAATCCCAGCAGCCTCTGTTTCCTAAACCCATCTACTCCTACAGGTAACTACCTGTTTTTTTCCCAAGTCTAAAAGTTAGGGGAACCATGCTATTTAGACATAGCCTGCCCCCAATACAGAATTTGCAACATAGTGCTTGCTCCCATTTGTTTGAAACTTATGAATCATGAAATGTCCTAAATTCTGGAGCAAAGATAGAGGGAAAGTCATATGGAAAGGAGCTCACAAACATTTCACATACTTTTGAGCACGTAAATAAAAAACTGCAGTATGTGTGTGTGTGTGCGCACATATACACTCTTTAGTTTTAATATATAAAATATATAATATTACATTATGTGTTTGTTTTCTCACGAATATGGGGCTCCTGGCAACTGATAGTTTTTCCAGGATATGAAATAATGCTAATTCTTTTCTGCTGAATGTGGGCAATTAATGGGAAAGACAGGGAATATGTCACACACACACACTCTCTCTGGACACCACACACACATGCTCGCTCTCTCACTCTCTCTCTTTGGAAACACAAGGGACAGCTGGTAAGCAATGTTTTCTATGAAGTTAGAGTGTTTTCCTTGTAAAGTGTGGGCTTTTTTTCCACTCTTGTACCATCTGCTTTTTCAGTGAAACTAAACCCTACAGCACTAGTGCTGCCTCCACAGTCTTCTCAGTCCCCATTGTCCTGGAGTATCTGAAATAAATTTAGTTGTCCTGCACGCAGGAGGTCCTTTGGTGACCATATAACCTGTATTAGGGCTTTACACTGCCGCCCATCTCCAGTGTCTGTGTGCCATCGCAATAGCATAGATCCTAGCGGGAACTCTTCTCCAGAGGACAGTTTGCCAAAGTAAACTACTACAAGTTAACCTCAAGTTTAAGACCTTTATCATTGTCAGTCTGACATTCCCCATGGAGTCTTTGGCAGCCTACGCATTTGAGCTCAGTGTTAACAAATTCACGCAGTTGCAAGACCCACCAAACTAAGTTTGAAAACCTTGGACCTGATCCTACACTTCATTACACTGGTTTTACACTGATGTAACTCAACTGAAGTCAGACCCTTTAGGTGTAGAGCAACAGTTACTGCTGCAATCCTTACACAACATAATGGATAGCCAGAAAATTGCTTGTAACAGCTTCATGCAGCCTTTAGGAATCACCAGGATTCATCTTATTACAGTGAAGATCAAACAAACGAATTGCACATGCTGTAAAGTTGTCTTTTTTTCTATTACCGAGAAACCAAATAATACAGGCTGAAATGTGAAGCTATCATGCCTCTTTATAATAAATTGATTTGTGTTTTATTTAAATATAACTAGTCACATAAACATGATTTTTCTATATATTTATTTACATTTTTGAAAGAGCATTCTAGAATCAGACATGCACTTTCCTGAAGAGAGATTTTCATGCCTGACTGTTAATCTTGCCGTCACTGTTTCTTCTTTGTTCCCAAAGCATCCTGATCTTCATGGCGCTCAAAAACAGTAAAACAGGGAGTCTCCCGGTCAGTGAGATTTACAATTTCATGACGGAACACTTTCCTTACTTTAAGGTGAGCTCTTCATTTAAAAAATTGCTTTCAATACCTTTCTGCTTCCCCCTTTCCTTGAGATCTGCCTGTCAGCACAGGGTAAGAGACCAGGTCCATTCTACTTAAATGGATAGTTGGCTTCTTAGAATACAAGAGCAATATCTAACCAATGACATAGTATACATCTCATAGCCCTTTGGTTTTCAAACTGGGGGGTGGAGGGAGGTGGAAACACGCTGAGGTTATCAGGGGGCCACAAGCAGCAGAGCAGGGACACTTCCAAGTCAGCTGCATCTTGCAGGCCACCACAGGCCTCATCTAATGACACCATTAGAAGGCTGTAGCCACCACTTCACTGTGCTCAGGGAGGGGGCTCTGCTCAAGTTCCAGTCAGGTAGGCAGCCTTGAGTCGCCTGCACTGCAGGGGAGCCAGATTTGGTGTGTGTCTGGTGGGTCTTGTTGTAGGCTGCAGCTTCATGCGTTGGAAAGCAGCAGGGCAAAGGAGAGCCTCCCTGGCAGCTGCAAAATAGTCTCACTGGAGCAGCAGATAAGAAGGGGAGGCAGCGGGGCACCTGGGAACGGCTCCTGACGGGGTGTGGATGGGGGAAAAGGAGAGGAGTGAAGCAGGGATGCCCCTGCCTCAATATTTCCTGCAGGCACCCAGCACCCACCCACACCCTGCCTCCCCTAGGCACCCAGCGCCTGCCACCCCCTGCATCTTCCCATGCAACTCAACCCCTGCCTCCCTCTCTCCCCAGCATTGCCAGTTTAGATGGCTGGGCTATCGCTCTCCTGTCTTCCATGGCAGATGGAAGGGGTCGCATAGGACATGAATCTCCGAAGGGGGATACAGCCAAAAAAAAAAAAAGTTTGGAACCTCTGCCTAGTCCATGAGTCTAGTGTGTACTCAACACACTACCCTAGGCTATGCAGAAGGGATGAGTATTGTATAGGCGCAGCGGTTCTCAAACTGTGGATCATGACCCCAAAGTGGGTCACGACCTCGTTTTAATGGGGTTGCCAGGGCTGGCGTTAGACCTGCTGTCACAGCACTAGTCCAGAGCAGCAGCAACAAAAGACCATCAATCCCCATCAGCATCATTATAATAGAGTTTAATGCAATGTGCACTCTTATTTTATACTGTTATGTCACAAGGGACTCAGCTATTTGACCAAAAACAAACAGGAAATTAAACAACATGACAGTGACCTGGAAAAGTGTTTTTTTGTTTGTTTGTTTGTTTGTTTTTTTAAGGCAGATCACAAGGAATCTAGAAGTTAGACAAAATATGCTGCTTCAAATCAAGGAGTAATTCAGAGTCTTGAATTTGTTCTCTAAAAAAATGACAGTCGCCTTCCCCTTATTTTTAACACCAGGTACATGAATTAATAGCATGCTAAACTATGATGCCTCGTAGCACAATGCACAAATTATATGATCTAAAGCCAAGTATTGCATCTTTATTTGAGGACTATATTATTTTCTAGAAGAATAAATTCAATACATTTCAAATCAAAAAGTCAGTTTATTAAAAACATATCAAAATATAAATTTTATAAACATAACCATAAACACTCCTGTATTTATTCGCTAGTTACTGAAGTTACACTGCCTTATGGTTCACACCAGATTAATAAAAGAAGCTGTTCCAGACCCAATGCTGCTATTGCTAATATAAATACATAGAATTCTTAGGAGTGGGAGAACCTTGCTCCACTAAGTCCCTCTTCCTGTTCCTGCCCTTTGAATGTGTTCCTGATATAATGTAAAATAGCAGTGAAACATCCATCCTTTCCTTAAGCACATTTTTCTGCATATATTCCACTACAGCCTTTGAGCATCAATTCCCCACTCCAGTAACAGTCAGAGAGAAGGTGCCATTTCTGATACCTTTCCCTCCCATTCATGACTCCACAAGATGTCAACTCCTTGGAGTGTGAACAGTTCTTTTCTCATATCCTTGTGTCCCCCCCACTTAAGTCACTTAAAAACCACAATGAGAATGAGGTTCTCCTCCTCAGCTCAAGCCAAGTGTGCTATAAATAGAATGACAGAGGGTACTGCTGGGACAATCACACATTTTGCAAGAAGAATCTTTTTGCACGTTAGTTTTATAGTCAACTAAGTTCCATAATTTCATCCCAAACATCCTTAAAATAAACATAGAAAATGACAGAACTGTATCTTTTACTTTTGGGCAATCAGTTCTAGCTCTATCTAATCTATAAAATTACCAGAGTCATCCACCATACAATAGGTTACTGCCCTATGAACTACTTGTTCTCTTGGAAGTCTTCATCAAGATCCTTGTGAAGTAGTTCCCTTTATGTTATCCTCAGCAGACAGGCAAAAATAGTTTTGTTTTTTTCTATCAAAAATCACTCAGTAGTTACCAGAACATGGAGCCAAGGGGTGGGGAAGCAATTACAGCTGGGGAGAAACCATATAGTACAAATGCACATGGGATCTTGCTGGGAGACATTAGATGACACAAGCCCAGTCAAATTAACTTCTACTCACTGCCACAGCAAATGCAATTTCTATGATGCAACAGTCTCATTTCTAGTTGAAACAGAACAATCCAACTCCTACGTCCTAAAAAAAAAAATCCATTCAGCTAAAGTGGAATTGCTCTTTGAAGTACCTCTCCCTTCTCTTGAGAGCCAGATTTAAAGAGAAAGAGTTTTGCAAGATCATAAAACTCTTTAAACTTCAAGAGGCGGTCACGATCAATGGGTCTGTGCAGAGTAACACTAATTTATGTATAGATAAATTGGAGATAAAAATACTGCCAGTGGTCTGGAGGTTAGAAAAGTTTGTGGTCTGATGGGACCATAACACAAGGTATTTTCCCTCTCTTAAATTCTACACTCCCTCCCACCATACTGCTTGGTGTGAGACAGGAGCCAGTTAGTTACCAGGTTTCAACTGTAGAACAGCAGCTTTGGTGATCAAAGCTCATTAATACTGGACAAGAAAAGTCTTAACTTAAAAAAACAGTTACCAAGAGAAGATGCATCATTAACACATTGTTGGACCATTCTGACAACTGAACTGGGTAAAGCGTTAGATTTTCCCTGACAAGCATCTTTGAGATCTTGATGTCAGAACCAATTCATCGCCTGGCATCACTCTTCAGAACCAGTCCTCTTACTAATAGTTTTAGGAACATCTAAAACAAAAAAGTATTTCAAAGCATGTGCCCCACCCTTTCTGAAAACCTCTGGGAAGCATATGCCACTCCCCACTTTCTCTACTGCTGAGCAGAAACATTAATTATCCTTACTAGGCAGGGACAGGGCAGACATATAATCTTTCATTTATTGGGCTAGAAATAAAATCTCATGTTCTGCTTTTTAAAAAGCTATATCATTCACAATCAAGTATACACTGGACGTAAGGGGAACATCTTTATTGTTTATATTTGGAATTGGTTGGCATCAACTTAAAGATGACCTGCAAAGAGGAACAAAATTGGGCTACTGCCCCTATTTGCTGCTTTGTGGTGGATAAAGACGGCCCAATTTTTCTGCTTGTTTTTTTTAATTAGAATTAAAGTCATAGATTCATAGATTCATA